TACTTGAATCTTTAAAAATTTTTATTTTTTGCTGGGGGTACAAATACCAAATTTGGGGGGTATGAATACCAGCACCCTAAATTATTTAGACTATATATAATTATGACTGAGGATATACAGTAAGACCTCCTAAGTGCACATTCTCTAAGTGCACGGTATATGAAAAACACCTCTAATATGCATGTCTCTGCTTGGTCCCAACTCATATAACAATTATAAAATTTAATCTCCCTAAGTGCATACCTCCTCTAAGTGCACATTTTGCATTTTTTTCACTATAGTCCTGAGAGGTATACATTTAGGGGGGTGCGACTGTATTTTGCAAATTTAGTATTTATTCATATACTTTATACAAAGTTATATCATATAATTTTATAAGATGCACTGCTCTATTTCCACAAACTTTTTTTTATGATATATAAAACTTTTTTAAAAATTAATATTTTTTTACTAAAAAATATATATAATATATATAATCAATTTATTATTAAAAAATATCTAAATTGAATAATATTTATATACAAAAAAAATTTTTTTCAAATAAAGCTAAATTTTATAAAATTTATAGAAATTTTAATTTGCTATCCTATTCCTATTAATATAATATAAATTTTTTAAAAATTTTATATTTTATAATTTTTTTTTTTGATAATTAGTTTTTTAGGTTTTGTACTTACTTTTTTTGCTTTTTTTTTTGCTCTTTGTTCTTTTCTTTGTTTTATATCTTCTATTTTCTTTTGCTTAATATTTTCTTTTTTTTGTAATTCTTTTGTAATAGTTTCAGAAGTTACTAAACTTCCAAATTCAAAAGCTTTAGATCAAGTTTTAGGTTTTTCTTCACTTGAAATAGTCTTCATAAATGGATATTTCATAATTGATGATAAAGAAGTAGTTCCAGGATGTTTAAGAGCTTTAATATATTCTTTTAATTGCTGATTTTCATTTTCAAGTTGTGCAATTTTAAGACTTGTATTATGTTCATGTTGTGGTTTAAAAGAAACTTCTAATTTTTTTTCAGTTGATAATGAAGGTGCCAAGCAGTCTGGATTAATTGCATTAGGATTTCAAGGCCAAATCCCAGTTGCAGTATAAGCATTTCTAATTGCTATAGGAGTATAAGTTTTAAAAAAAGCTTCACCAAAAACTTGTGCAAAAGAATACTTTGTAACAATTTTTTAGTTATTAGTAAATCTATAATTGTCAGAAGCTTTATCATATTCAAGTTTGAGTTTTTTAAAAGGTATCTCAGAAGGTT